GGCATGTCAAACATTTATTGGACATGTTTTAAGACCCCTACATCTTTCATGTCAAAAAACATCTTAACTCACAATTCAGAGTATGGAATTCTAGATGGTAAGTAATCATGTTTCCTCAGAATTTTGAAGGCATTTTTCCATTGTCTTCCATAGCTCCCAGTATTGCTTATGAGAAGCCTCTTATTTTGATTCCTGATCCTTTGTACGTGACCTGTTTTCTTCCTGAATACCTATTTTTCTTTATCCTTGGTGCTGTGGAACAGCAAGATGATGTGCCTTGGTGTGTGTCTCTTTTCATTCATTATGAATACTCAAAGGAACCTTTAAATCAGGAAACTCATATCTTTAGTTCTGGGTATTTCCTTATATTGTTCTCCATTATTTTCTGTTTTCTCTTTTTGAAACTCTTATTGGTTGGCTGCTGGACCTCCAAGATTGATCTTTGAATTTTCTTATATTTCATATAATTATTACATATTATATAGATCTTATATATTTTTATTGTACCTCCCTCCACCCCTCTTCCTTCATTTTTTAAACATTTATTTATTTTTGGCTGCATTGGATCTTCATTGCTGTGCGCGGGCTTTCTCTAGTTGCGGCGAGCGGGGGCTACTCTTCGTTGCAGCACGTGGGCTGCTCATTGCAGTGGCTTATCTTGTTGCAGAGCACGGGCTTTAGGTGCGTGGGCTTCAGTGGTTGTGGCACATGAGCTCAGTTGTGGCACATGGGCTTAGTTGCTTCACGGCATGTGGGATCTTCCCAGACCAGGGCTTGAACCCGTGTCCCCTGCATTGGCAGGCGGATTCCTAACCACTGCGCCACCAGGGAAGTCCCTACCCCTCCCTCCCTTCATTCTTATTTTATTCTTTTTTAGAGCATATTCAATTGTCTCATCCACTCGTTTTACAAAATATTTTATTTTGTTATGTATTTAATTTCCAAGAGCACTTATGCCCTCTGATTACTCATTTTTTAATATTTTTTCTAACTCCTGTTCTTTCCTGATGGGTGTAATTGCTTTCTTCTGTGGGTATTAAATGTAGTTGTTTTGAAATTTTTTTCTGTGTCTTGACTTGTGTCTGTTTCTTTATACTTCTTTTTTGTTTGTTTGTCTCTATGTCTTTCATTTCGATGCTTTTCACAAATAACTAGTCACCTTTGGCCATCATTCATATTTAAGAGTGAGTCAATACAATCTGCCTATGTGCATAGCTTGTCAGCTGCTGAGCTGTGGAAGTTTTCTTCTCACTGGTGAGCCTACCATGATGAAGAGGGCTTTCTATCTCTGGGGCTTTTCATGTATTTTCCCCCATCCAGACCCTCCTTCATTTCTTTCTAGATTTGGAAGTGTAACTCAGACTTTTCAGAATATTCCCCCTTCTCTCATATTCTTTCTTTATGAAGTGCACGCATGTGTGTAGTGTATATAATGCAGGTCTTGGGGTTCTGTCTCAGTTTAGTCACCACGTTCAGAGATTATGGCATGACATTGTGCCCCTTCCTTTGTCTGATAACTACAAGTGTGGTTTGTTGATTTATTTTGTACATATTTTTGTTTATTTCATTATGTCTTAGTGGAAGAGAGAGTTTATGATCTGGGTTCATTTGTAATCTTACTCTAGCAGTTTCTCCCTACTTTTTGAATTCTGAATTTTTGGTGTCTGCAGAGTAGTAGTATGGATGTCCAATAATTTATGTAGCCAATACTCTATTATTGGATTTTACTTTGTTCCTAGTTTTTGGCATTACGAGTATTGCTGTTGTGAGCCTCCTTTTCCGTACAGCATTGGTCGAGGTTGTTATTTCCTTAGGATGGAATCTTCAGTGTAATTACTAGATCAAAGGATACAATCAGTAAAGTCCTCAATACTTGTTTGTAAATTACTTTCCAAATTGTTGAGTTGGTTTATATTCTCAATATTGGTTGGCATTGTTTATTATACTTGAAAAGAATGAAACAACTTTGTCAAGTGAAAAATAATATCACATAATGCACATTTCAGTTTGCAGTTGTGTTTTCTGTCTCTTTTTTGGCCGATTTTGGCAGTGAGTATGGATAGTATTTAGATTTTTCTTACTGATTTATCCATGCTTGTTTAATTCCATCTTATGGTTATTAGGCCTTTGTCATGTTGTAAATATTTTTTTATTGCCTTCCTCTTACTTTTGTTTGCTTTTTAATGTGTTTTTAATTTCTGTGTGCATAGTTTTAAAAAAATAACTTGTCCTTCTAATTTTTGTGCTTTGAAAGACTTCTTTCACCCCATCATCAAATAGAGTCACTATCTTTCCTTTAGTTCTTTGAAGTTGATTTTCTTTCTTTCCTTTTTGGCTGCGTCAGATCTTAGTTGCGGCACATGGGATCTTCATTGAGGCATGCAGGATCTTTTGCTGTGCTGCGCGGGCTCTTCGTTGCAGTGTACGGGCTTCTCTCTCGTTGTGGCGGCAGGGTCTTCTCTCTCTAGTTGTGGTACGTGGGTTCCAGAGTGCGTGGGCTCTGTAGTTTGTGGCATGTGGGCTCTCTCGTCGAGGCACGGGAGCTCAGTTGTTGTGGCCCGTGGGCTTAGTTGCCCCATGACATGTGGGATCTTAGTTCCCTGACCAGGGATTGAACCCGCGTCCCCTGCATTAGAAGACGGATTCTTTACCCTTGGGCTACCAGGGAAGTCCCTTTCCTTTAGTTCTTTTGGATTTCATTTCGTAAATTTAACTCTTTAGTCCATTAATTTTTTTGTATAACATGAGGCAAAGAACCTGAGTTTTTCTCTATATAGTTAAACTTATTTTTTGTTGTCATTTATTGTCATCAGGTTTCCAAATGCTTTGAAAAGTCACCTTTTTCATAAAATTTCCTGTAACCAATGCATCTATTTCTTGGCTTTTAAATTCTTTTCTGCTTATCTTTTCATTCCAGTGCATCCCACTTTAAAAAAAAAATGATTGTAGCTTTTTAATATGGTTTGCTCTCTGGTAATGCTAGTCTTTGAAAATCTCCGAGGACTCCATTCCAGGTTGGGAACTGTGAGGTGCCTAAGTCAGGGAACTGCCGAAAGGGAGTTGGTTCTGAACCCAGGCCAGGGGGAGACGAGTACAAACACGGAACCTTGAAGCCACTTTCCTGGGGCTCCCTGGCATTGCCCTGATGAGAAGGAGCATAGGTGTCAGCCTGCGAAAGGGCTCAGTGAGCAGGTTCACTAAGTATAGGTATGGAGATTGGAGGGTTGTGGGATTTTGAAGCCAAACATGTAATTATAATTAGTAATACTTTAAAAAAGCTAAGTTACCTATTGACTATAGAGGCCTCTACAGGTACCAAAGCAAGGGAGTTTGGATGCCTCTTCCTTTTCTAGGTGTCTTTTAGCTGCTTCATTATGACTTTCCTTCTCAGGGAAAGTTGTTGAGGGGTTGGGGATAAGGGAGAGATCAAAGAAATAACAGTGAGGATAGATTCAAGATACTTCTATTTGTATACTTTAAAATATACCTATTATATTTTTAGAGATAGTTTCAAAGCTTCAAACATTTTAGTCCCACTGTGGCTTTTTTTTTTTAAATTGTAAAGAATGATTGGTAGATTTATTTTAGAATTTCTGCTTGGCCTAGGGTAAATTTATCAATGGAAAGCAAAGAGAATGCAGCAGTTAAACTTCCATATTCTTTTTTTTTAATGTTAATTTTTATTTTTACTTAAAAGTTTTTTTTTAATTGAAATATTCTTAAAAGCAAAAGCTTTATCACTCCTGCTTAGCATTCAGAGTCATCTTTGGTTGGAGAATCTGGCTCTATTTATAGCGGTCACACGATCTTGACTGTGGCCACAGCCTGCTCTCCCTTTTTCTCTGCTACATAACATTTCCCAATTCTTTTAATACAATGTAGATAAGGCTAGAATATCTGTTAGACTTTACCAAAGGCAGAGGGGTAAGTAAAAGGAAGGAAGCATAGAGAGTAGCATGTAATGAGGTAATTTTTCATATGAGATCTAATTTTAGTCTTCAGCTTTGCTTTCTCTCTAGCTCCTAGATTGCTTCAACCTGACAAAAGCCATCTTTTCTCTACCACTCAGGAGAACCTTCAAGCATCTGTAGACTCTAAATTTCAAACCCAAAGAGAGGACTTCATAACTGACACTGGGAATGCTGAAAATGAGCATGGCCAGTGCCATCCACAAGAAATCATAACTAACTGCATTCCAGTGGCCTCTATGAGACAGTCATATCTAGCTATACATCTGGCCCAACAGGCTAATATCCTTACTAGAGATAAGGGTGCGGTGGGTGGGTGGGAATCTGTCATAGCTTTTTATATAATAAATCTGTATATTATACTGATGTGCATTCTATGGCTTTTAAAATAAGGGATACAGTGGGCTAGAACTAGTAGACCTGGATTCTAGTCTGATTTACTAGTGAACAGTCTTGTCTCTTAGCAAGTGACTCAATCTTTCTGTAGTTTTGTTGAAAGATTTGGATATAATTATTCTGTAATTTTAGGGTTTTGACTATAATTGAATTGTTTAAAATAATTGTAAAGTTTAGATTTGAATTTTTCTCCTGGTGATATATTAGTCTATTTTAATATGATTCTGCGATATTAACGAGGAATTGTTCTGATGAGAAAAAGTGATCCATTTTATAATGATATACTTTATAGGACAAGGTCTCCATTGTGGTACAGGTGGGACCTGCTTATATTTAAAAGGGGCCATGGGAGCTTACTATGAGTTTTTTTGTAAAGTAAATATTTGCCTCTTTATTTATCACATATAAATTTAGATGTTCTTAAACAATTTAATTGTATATAGTTCTCCCTATATTTAGATTCTATATTTTCTAGTGTTTATTCATATATTTGACATTTTATCATTAAAATTTTTAAGTTGAAATTAAACAAAAGCGCCATATGTTAAAATACTTTAAGAGTGAGTTATTTGGTACTTCTAGTTAAGATAGACCGATTTGTTCTTTCTACTTATGTGTGATCTGCTTTTTTTTCAGAGTGAAAAGCTTTTGTTATATGATACAGTGCAGAGTGAACTAGAAGAGAAGATAAGAAGGCTTGAAGAGGACAGGCATAGCATTGATATTACCTCAGGTGAGGGGAATGCTGTGACTGTCATGTTTAAGTGACACTAAACCTTTGGTTTACTGAGGTGTCTCGCTGTATGTAGTCTCCTTTACATATGTTATGTAAATGAAGTGTCCTAATGAGAGAGGAAAGGGCAAGACTGCTAAAGAATTTGATATGATTGTGATCGTTGCTTTGATTTGGACTCACACTTCAGAAAGACGTAGAAAATGGAGCACATGAAAGGGAACAAAACAGAAGTGAGACAGGAACTATAGGCATAAGATAGTATACTACAGGAATAGTAAGAATATTATTATAACATAAGAATAGTATTGGAAGACAGCTGTAGTATATGTTCTTTCCTCTAAGCCTTGAAAGATTGTCATGTGGAAGAAGGAATAAAACCCTTTTCTCTTTGGTCCCACACAAACTAGGACAAATGGGTGGACTTTCCAGGGAGGCAGATTTTTGTCTCAGGAAAAGGAAATACTACTAATTAGATCAGTCCAAAGTGAAATGGCTTTTTCAGAGGTACTATGGAAAAGCTTTCTACACTGGATGGAAGATTTACTGGGTTATCCTATTGTTCTTGCATATGTATTATTTTACTTGTTATAAATTCTATTTCTCTGATATGGAGTAGACAGAGTGGACAAGCTGAGCTCTAATGCTGCATTACTTGTAGTCGGGTGACCATGGGTGACAGTTACTTTAGCTTTTCTAAATCAGTCTCCTCCTATAATTGAAGTAATGAGACTATTACCTCTGCCTCAGAGGTAGCTTTGAGGATTAGTTGAGACCATTCATGCGATGTATATTTAACAAAGTGCCTGACATATGTTTATCAGTTATTAGTCACTAAGTGCCAAGTTGAATTTTGCTCTAGTAAAAGCAGAGGAAAATTCAAAATATATAACTGCTCATGAAATTATATATAGTCATATATATGTATAGTATACACATATATACAGTATATAAACATAGACACCAATGAAATTTTGCTACTATGAAATTATATAGTCTTTTTTTCCTCCTTTGATCTCTAGAAATCAGCTAATACTTAATTTTTATTTACTTGCCAGAGCTGTGGAACGATGAGCTTCAGTCGAGAAAAAAGAGGAAGGACCCTTTCAGTCCTGACAAAAAGAAGCCAGTTGTGGTTTCAGATATCCTTTTTCAAATTTTCTGGGGGTTTTTGTTTTGTTTTGTTTTAATGTACATTTTTGCATTGTGCATATCTTTGTAACTTGTTAGTATACATTGTCTTTATTTGCATGATTCTGTAATAAGCAAAAGATGATTTATAAAACCGATTGAAGGCAGAAGGGTATAGTTTAGATTAAGAGGAGTAGGGAAGGAGTAGAAATTTAGTCACGATCCCAACTTTGAAATTAACATGGCTTTGTAGGTAACAAGGGCTTTGATGTGAAGCAGCTGTGTAGTATGTAGCATGATTGCTTAATTCTCATGTGTACCTTTTTTTTTTTTTTTTTTGTGGTACGCGGGCCTCTCACTGTTGCGGCCTCTTCCATTGCGGAGCACAGGCTCTGGACGTGCAGGCTCAGCGGCCATGGCTCACGGGCCCAGCCGCTCCACGGCATGTGGGATCTTTCCAGACCGGGGCACGAACCTGCGTCCCCTGCATCGGCAGGTGGACTCTCAACCACTGTGCCACCAGGGAAGCCCTCATGTGTACTTTTTAACATTTTTAATGTCTCTGAAAGTGGAGTGTCTTTAAATTAAATTAGTATGTGCATTCAGTCTTGGCATTCCCTTTGGTACCCTCCCCTCGCTCCTGCCTTTTTCCCCCCACCTCAAACCAGTGATTAGGTTGGTGGTGTATCTTGCTATCCTTGATACCATAGGACTAAGGGAATATGGTTATAACATCTGAAGTACTGGAACATATTTATCCTGGTACTGAGTTTTTTGAAGAATAATTTGAAGTCAGAATTCAGCATGCTGAAGGTTTTTGTCCAGAGGTCTTTGTTCCATTCTCTGAAAAACAGAAGTTTGGAAGTATAATTCAAAATGTGAAATTCTTACAGCTAAATTGACCTTGACTTTTCAACGTCCGTATATAGTTTATATGCTACAAGATCTTGATATTCTTGAAGACTGGACAACAATAAGGAAGGTATGATTAAAGAGCAATGGAATCCAAGTATATTTTTTATAGTCTACTTTTTAAGAGTCTATGATTTTTCACTAATACATCAAAATATTATTGTAAATATGCTTTACTTTGCAACAGTCTCTCTAAGACAGTTAATACTAATACAGATAATAGTGGATTGCAAGAGTTTTTTAAATAAATTTATTTATTTATTTGTTTGTTTATATTTATTTTTGGCTGCGTTAGGTGCTCGTTGCTGCACGTGGGCTTTCCCTAGTTATGGCGAGCAGGGGGCTACTCTTTGTTGCGGTGCACAAGCTTCTCACTGCATTGGCTTCTCTTGTTGCGGAGCATGGGCTCTAGGCGCACGGGCTTCAGTAGTTGTGGCATGCAGGCTCAGTAGTTGTGGTGCACGGGCTTAGTTGCTCCGTGGCATGTGGGATCTTCCCGGACCAGGGCTCAAACCTGTGTCCCCTGCATTGGCAGGAGGATTCTTAACCACTGAGCCACCAGGGAAGTCCCTGCAAGAGTATTTTAAGAGATGCATGTCAGCTGTTTGACTGTATTTTCCCGTGATAATGTAATTAATAATTCATGCAAAAGTGCAGAAAAGCGTTTATTTAGGTTACCCCAAAATAATAATAAATTACCATTCTGTGCCTAGTTCTTAGCCTGATAATGGCTCATGGAGTACACTCAATAAATATTTGTTGAATGAACGAAAGTGAATATTTGAACCCTTATCATATGTCTTGCATCCTGTCTTTAAACATTCAAGCATTATAGGATTTTCTGTGCTTGTTTGAAAGTGGAGACTTGTTTTCTTATTAAATTTTTCTATTTTCAGAAGCTTCTTAGTTGAGAATTTGAGATTATTTCGGATATTGATAACACCTTTAGGAGAAATTGTTATTCTTTTTATATATTCCTATGATCTTAGATACTACCAATTTATTGAAGCAGCTAAAGATTGTATTTCACTGTTTGTTATTGAGCTTATCGGTAGTGTTGTATATATTAAATAGAAACTAAAATATACTTTGCCTATGAACTCAGACATCTTTCTTCTTCTTTTTTTTTTTTTTAATTAAGGCAATGGCTACACTGGGTCCACACAGAGTGAAAACAGAACGTAAGTCATTTAGTCTGAGTTCAGAAATCTTCGCTATGGAGACTTTTTAAGTCAGTCCCCTATCACTGGTTTCATTTCATCAGTGAACACTATCCCCAGAATTATGAGGAATTCTTCTGGAGTCTTTGTCTCACGTAAAAGTTTCAAGATTTCTGAATGGAATGTATTTCTTCTTTTAGTGTTTCAACTACATTTCAATTGCTGATAATGGATCAGTAATTTTAAAAGTATGTACTTAGTGTTTTTTATGGGTTCAGTAATTCTGTAGGGGAGGTTTTAGGAGTCCGTGGATGGCCTTCAGGGAGCCTGTGAATCCTCTGGAATTGTGGGCAAAATTTCTTCTGTGCTTGTGTTTTCTAGGCGAGAGATTAGAGTGCTGGCAGTGGGATTCATCAAGAAAATTTACACACCACTAAGATTTACACATTCTGATATGCCTTAGTAAAATTTATATCAAATTATACTTTCACAGTTTTTTGGAAGGTCTGAAATCACTGCCAAAGTAATGATGGGCATTATTGTCTAGGGTAACTTTCTCTGTTTCTGCCTACTTTCACTGTATGAGGTTTCCTAATCCTAAGAGCAATTGAAGCAAGAATTTTAAATAAAACATGTTTTAAATACGAAGAGACGTATCCCAACAGATAATCTATAAGAGATCAATTTCTATTTTATATTTAACCCAAGGATTCTTTTAAACGTTATATGATGTCAGGAAATTGTTAGCAATATTGTACTAAACTGCTTCCCTTGGGAATTAGGTGGAAGGGTAACTACCTATATTCTGAACATTTTTGAGTCATGGATTCCTTTAAGAGTCTCACTACACTGTTGAGTGGGTCTCCTCCCCGACCCCTGTTATGTTATCTTTAGCATGTGTACTATTTGTTTTCTTCATGGCACTTAACACAATTTGTAATTTTTTATTGATTGTTTACATGTTTACCTGTCTCCTGAGAGAATCGTAAGCTCCACAAAGATCAGAAACATCTCTCTTTTAGTCGCAGTGCTCAGAAAACATTTGTTGAACGAATGAATGAGTGAATACTTATTGAACACCTTCTATATAGGAGGCACTATTTGAGGTTCTGGGAATACAATGGTGCAACAGATGGACCTCCTAGAACTTCCTTGGGGGGAAGCAGAATAATAATGTATATGTAAATAGATAACTAACAGATACTGACAAATTGTAATAATTGCTATGAAGGAAATATAAAGCTGTGATGAAGATTAACTGAGGAGTGGGTAGAGTGGTTGGGGAAGACCTTTCTGAGGTGGTGACATTTGAATGATGCAGAGGTGTGTATTTCATGGTATGCTTTTGACAGTGTGTTTCTATAAAGAACATTCTTTTTCTCTGCATGAGTTTATCTGGCAAATCTCAAACCATTTCTAGGATTTCAAAATGGAAGTTCTACTTCAGGACATTTCCTTTTTAGAATCAAAGTCCTGGGGAACTCTTGGAATATATATTAAACTTTGCTTTTTTGGAAGTGTCAGCTGCAGGGGAGAAAATATGAAAAATGTAATTTTCAGTAGAAATACGACAATTCAGATTTTAAATCTCACTTAAAGTTGGCACTAGTAATTGATAATATATCTGCTTCTCCTTCTTACACTTGTCTAGTTAATTGATTTATTATATATTGTTTAGCTTTATTAAATAGCTATATTAAAAACTGAATGAATTATATAAAAATGTAAGAAATGAGATTCTCTTGTTTTTATTAGATTTAGGTTTGTTAGCTAAGAAATATTTTTAGTGTTTTTTCACATATATGCATGGGTTGGTGTTAATACTTAGTGTTCTGCACTTTTCTTCTGACAATGTCTTATTAGTATAACAGTTTTTGAACTGATCCCTTTAGCACCTGTGAAACTGGAAAAACACCTGCACAGTGCTAGATCCGAAGAGGGAAGATTGTATTATGATGGTGAATGGTATATACGTGGACAGACAATATGTATTGACAAGAAAGATGAATGTCCTACAAGGTAAAAAGCCTTTATCATTTCAGTGCTACTCAGTATTAGAGTTTACCACATTGTTGTCAGTAAATATTTGCTGCTTCCATAGTGCATTCATAATACATTATTAATTCCCTATGGATTCTTTTTTTCTCTTGACATATGATTTGATTAGCATGTTTACACACCAGTATTAATTTTATACACCAGAGTTACATATTAAGTTCATGGACACAAGCATTAACACAAATGGAAATGTTGGAATTATTTAGCCAGGTAAGAAATCCCATTTATTAATTCTTATAATAGATGACTTGCTATGATCCTAATATTATGACCTTTAAACCAGACTGTTATGAATTTGACAGTATGCTGCCACAGTGTGGCTCTATTAATCCTTAAATTTTTGGGGTATATTACAGTATTTTAGATTAAAAATTTGCTTCAATTAGAATGGGAAAGGAATTGAAAATTAACAAAAACTTAGAGTAGTGGGAATTAAAGTATAACTTGAAAACTGAAAAATTGCCTTTTAAAAAGCTCAATCTGTTTAGGCTTAAATAAAGTTTATATAATTATTTATAGAGCCTTATAAGTTTTATCTGGTGTGGCCTTTGGAAAATATTATTGCCCATTGCTGCTTTAATTCCTTTAGTAGTTTAGGGTTTAATTCTCAGAGTAGTAACCTTCTACAGTAAGAAACTATCTTTTTCTAGGCATCAGTAGTAAATAAAGTGTTTGCTTTTAGTATAGAATACTCATTTCAGGATCAGTGTGTATAGTAACTTTTCTCATAGAAGCTCATTGAGCTAATTAATTGCTAGGTTATACATGATACCCACGGATTCTTTGCTTTATCTTATTGCTTTTGAGACATTTAACTACTACTACTTAGCATAAATGTGGTTAAAAAGGAGATGAAATAGCATAAAAGAGGATTAAACACATATATTTTTAGAAAGATTTCTATGTAAAGATTAGTAGTGTTAAAAAAAATCTGTACAAGTACCACAGATGCTTGACACTGGAAATTAAGTTTGGCATTTGAAAAATTTCCTACTGCCAAGGCTGATATGAGTTGGAGGTGTAATACTACATAAGGAGTGGTGTTAGCTCCACTTTTTCTTCTTTTGGAGGTGGGGTGGGAATGGAGTTAGGGACAGTGTGCTTTTAATAGTTCTAGTAGTAAGTTTTACCAACTCTATTAAGAAAAGAAAGGAGATTATCTATTAAGTGTTGCTTAATGTGATATTTTTGACGGCATGCCCTGCTGATAGCATTCCGGTAAATGACAATTACATACCTGAATCTACTGTTATAGTCCAGCTATTTTGGTTTTATAGTTTGTGCTCTAAAATGAGTGGAGAAGGCATATTGTAATTCATTCATTCGTATTTTTTTTCTTTTTAGTGCTATAATTACAACAATTAACCATGATGAAGTTTGGTTTAAGAGGCCTGATGGAAGCAAATCTAAGCTTTACATTTCACAGCTACAGAAAGGAAAATATTCAATTAAACATTCATAATCATGATTTAAGTGTTATCTAAATCTACGTTATTAGTGTTACCAAGTATGATGTGCCATGGGAATAAAAAAATATATTCAGTAACTTAATATTCTCATCGAATCATGAGAGACTGTGCATTTGTAGGTAGTACTCTAAATAGACCTCATGTTGATATGTTATTGAAAGAGACAGTGATAAAAGTTTAATCATGATCATTACATTTATTTGCCTTTTTGGCCCAGTGACCAATAGGTATATATATGGTAGGGGTTTCTTACTAAACTTTTTTCTTTGGTTTTTATGTAAATCTGTCTTACCTTTAGTGAACTATGTTAGCAATGGCTACATTTATCACAGTTTTCTTGATTTTCAGTGTCTTTGTCACTGATCATATATTTGTAAATAAGCCCTATAAAATGTTTCCTATAAATGGTTTGTAATAGTACATTTGTGTTAAATCAGAATTGAAATTTAAACATATATACGTGAGTATGTATAGATGGCATCATCAGCTTATTTAGAACTGATGGCCTTACGTTGCAATCTTGTTTTACCCGAAATTCAAGCTATTGGGTTTGAAAGCTAAAAGGAGCACTTTTGTAGACTAGCAGCTTTCCTTCTTTTCCTTGATTGTATGGAGGTGACCTATTTTTTACAAATTATACTTCATGTTGATTAGAAAAATTAGTGTCAAGTAATAACATGCTTCTACCTTTATTTCTTGTGAACCTTTAGAGGGCAGGTATATATGCCTGGTATTTATGATGCAGTATGTAAGTGGTGGACAGTAACTGACAGTATTGTGGTGCTTGCTGTACATGTCTGATCTTTTGAAACAGATTTTTAGTAAGCATTTTCCAGAGGTAAAACTAGGTTTGTATCCTAATTTTATTCCTAGGGCAAAATAGACAGGGATGATCTCCTTGAATCTATTCCCAAATTAATATTTTTATCTTTGGTGTTTCTACACTTTAAGGCCACTTGGTGCAATTTAGAAAGTATTGGCCTCTCTTCCCCTAGTCACATTCAAAATTAACTTCTAAAACCTCAGGAACAGTACAGGGAATTGAAACCCTCAATATGGCAGCACAATTGGCTGTAGTATATATTAGGGTACAACCAAATCAGGTATTCCTGGTGGTCTTGTGCACTTTAATTTCTGTTATATTGAGACTTAAGAGGATGAGGAAGAGATCTACTTATTAACACTTAGGGCAGGAATATCTGCATTTTTCCATTTGTTTTCTCGCTATTTTACCTCTGCAAACATCTTCCTGTACAGATCACTACTTCAGAGTTGCCAAATGTTAAAATGTTTGACTTCTGAAATTCATTATCAGCAGTTATGTACGTTGTTCTGTTTCTAATTAACCTTAGCAAATGTACATAATGTCATAATCTGATAGTATTTGACAGTACTTATGTATACAGTGTTTCATAAGCATTTTTAATAATATTTGGATTTTTAAATTTAGTATATAATAAAAAGATGTGTTTGCGTGTCATTCGTAGTGTCTTGAATGACTTGTGCACTTTTATTATTTATAACCTGTCTACTTCTAAGAAGGATTTAAGGCAACTTACATTAATAGATATGGAGTGTTGGAGTGTTGAACAAATGTTTCTGCGTCCCTAAACCACAATTCAACCTCTTTTGGGGTATATTTAGATATTTAAGGCAGCTAAGTTATATTTAATTTAAATATATGTTCTACTTTAATAAAAATGTACTGTGTAAGTTCTGAAATTTTAAGTAGAAAGTCTTTATTTTAAAAACTGACTATGATTTAGTAGATTTACTTTCAGAACTTCAATGTTTATATCATATGTAACTTTTCCATAGTATTGATACTGATTCAGGTAAGTGTATGCTTGTCTATGATTGAAATACTATAAAATATATTTCGTTGTTGGCAGTTTGCCATTTGACTTCTGGTCAAAAACGGTCTAGTTTGGGGGAACTGTTAGAATCTGCAAAATGTGATCTAGCAGGTGCTGGTACTTTGTTTACGATCAGACTCTGTCTTAGTATCAATATATGGACCTTAACTGTCACAGCTTCCAGGATTTCATCTTTGGTCTATCCCTTCTCGACATTTCCCATTAAAAGAATCGAATCATCAGTAATCCAATTCATCACTAATAATTATTAGCAAACACTAATGTACATTCCTCATTCTGTCCCTTCTTCTCACTGGACACTGAGTACTTTTCATTGCAAACTTCTTCACGTAAAAGTTGTTTTGAGGGGCTTCCCTGGTGGCGCAGTGGTTGAGAGTCCGCCTGCCGATGCAGGGACACGGGTTTGTGCCCCGGTCCGGGAAGATCCCACATGCCGCGGAGTGGCTGGGCCCGTGAGCCATGGCCGCTGAGCCTGCGTGTCCGGAGCCTGTGCTCCGCAACGGGAGAGGCCACAGCAGTGAGAGGCCTGCGTACCGCAAAAAAAAAAAAAAAGTTGTTTTGATATGTGTGTTGTTACTCAGAACTCAAACACCACTGACAGAACCATGTACAATCTTAAATACTTGATAATTATTTAAAAAGAAGAACAAGGACATTGGTTATTTCTGATTTTGTTTTTGGATCCAGTAAGTCCAGTACACTAAAACTGAACTAAAATGAATTGATAAGGAAAATGGTTGTAGGATGAATGAATACACTAGTTAGGATTTATGTAGTCTCTTGCCAAGTTGGAATATAAATGATTTTAATTGCTAAATGTAAAATATTTTTCAAAGCACAAAAGCTCAGAATGGGGTTAGGGAAAATGTATGTTCCTTATATTGTCTTCATGGATGAACTACAGGAAGTGTGCCTGATATGTCAGGTGGGATTAATTGAGGCGGTTTCCCTCATTGGTCACTGTGGCTCAGAGTCTTGCCCCTTACTTCATAGGCCCAGAAACTTAAACTTTATTCATATGCCCTGTTGTGGGCTGAATTGTATCTCCCCCCCGCTCCTCCAATGCATATTTTGAAGCCATCACACCCATTACCTCAGAATGTGACTGTATTTGGAGATGGGGCATTTAAAGAGGTGATTAAGTTAAAGTGGGTGTTAGGTTGGGCCCTCATCCAGTCTGACTGATGTCCTTATAAAAGGAAATTTGGACACAGAGAAATTTGGACGGCAGATACATGAACACAGAGGAAGGACCGTGTGAAGACAGTGAGAAGTCCACCACCTGCAAGCCAAGGAGAGAGGTTTCAGGAGAAACCGAACCTGCCAACACCTCAATCTTGGACTTTTAACCTCCAGAACTGTGAGAAAATACATTTCTGTTGTTTAAGCCACCCAGTCTGTGGTATTTTGTTATGGCAGCTCTATCAAACTAATAACATGCCTGAGTTGACAGCTCTGGGGGAGTTAGACCAACCCATTCACAGTGGATTGAAGTGACAGCCGAGTGTCAGTTTAATAATTTTCACTGAGAAGGAGACCAGACTCCTCAAGTCAACTACTTGACATATTTTTTCCTTCTAGGAAAATCTGTGTGAAAGCAAACTTGGAATCAAAAGATGGTTTTATCGAAACTTGAAGGGGTCACCTGTCCTCTTGTGAGATAGCCCCTTCCTGGTATTGTGCTGGGCACATTGTTATAATCTTATTTTAAAAAAAATTTTATTGAAGTGTAGTTGATTTACAGTGTCATGTTAATTTCTGATGTACAGCAAAATGATTGTTATACATATATATATTCTTATTCTTTTCCATTATGGGTTCTCACAGGATATTGTATATAGTTCCCTGTACTATACAGTAGGACCTTGTTGTTTATCCATTCTATATATAATAGTTTGCATCTGCTAGTCCCAAACTTTGAACCCATGCTTCCCCAGCCCCACTTCCCCCTTGGCAACCACAAGTCTGTTTTCTGTGTCTGTGAGTCTGTTTCTGGTTTGTAGATGTTCATTTGTGTCATATTTTAGATTTCACGTATAAGTGATATCATATGGTATCTGTCTTTCTCTCTCTGACTTACTTCGCTTAGTATGTTAATCTCTAGGTCCATCCACGTTGCTGCAAATGGCATTATTTCATTCTTTTTTATGGTTAATACTCCATTGTATACATATGCCACATCTTTATCCATTCATCTGTCAGTGTACATTTAGGTTGTTTCCATGCCTTGGCTATTGTGAATAGTGCTGCAATGAACATAGGGGTGCATGTATCTTTTTGAATTATAGTTTTGTCTGGATATATGCCCAGGAGTGGGATTGCTGGATCATGGCAACTCTACTTTTAGTATCTTATTTTTGATTTTATTTTTTCCTGGTGCCCTGCTGACCAGGATCTCGCTGTGCAGGCCTGGTCCACAGCCCCCCTCTAAGTTCTTTCTGTATTATGTACTTTGCTACTCTGTCCAGTTTATTGGACCAGTGTGGCCCCTGGCTCATGGGCAGCCAGTGATAATAATACTTGTAATTCGAATGCCTGCCATGTGCCAGGAACTATGTTTAGTATATAAACAAAGTCATTATTTAATATTTTTCATGTTTAAAACAAAATGAATATAAATGTCAGAATTCTGATATGCTTACTTTATAAATTTACCATATATTAGGAATTTATGGGGTTTTTTTCCTCAAGGTATGCAAGGCAAAAGATTGTGGCAGAACTTATATTTTGAATGGTCTTAAACTTAGTTATCTCAAGTTGCTAATCTTTCTGAAAAATGTATATATGTTATATACGTTATCTATCATCTGTCTTCTATCTGTCATCTATCTATAACTAGAAAGCAACTATAAGTCTAAAATTTCTTTGTTCCTAAACTTGAAGTTAATATATTCTCTTTCAAAGGCACAATTTATTAAAGAAGGTCAAGGGGAAAAGTTATGTAGTAACAGTCTTTAGAGTTAATTTTTCCTTTCCTTTTCCATTTTTCTGTATCTAATAGAAGTCTGAAGTGGGTGAACTTGCCGGGAGACTGTTGCATTCTCTTGAAGAGAGAAGAGCCATAATTCTAGTCCAGAAGCAGGCCACATGGTAGCATTTCATCTCTGCTAGTAAAGATTATAATTTATGTTAAACGGCTTAGAAAACCAGATCCTCAGGCAGAGGCTAAATGATACCTGCTATTAGTGGGATGTTGAAAGAAATATATTTCACTTATTATTGAGCAAATATGAAAATGTTATTGGTAATGGCAAAGATAGTGAAGTGTTTTCACTTTGAAGATAAATTTATGATTTCAGTGTATTATGTTTAAGTACATTTATGGGTAATTGCACTTATTAAGGAAAGACGATTTAAAAAAAACTTCAGGTACTGTTTAAATTATTCATTGGCTACAGCAATATTTTTTTAGATTTATTTTTTTACTGGGGTATAGTTGTTTTGCAATGTTGTGTTAGTTTCTGCTGTACAGCGAAGTGGAGTTCCCTGTGCTATACAGCAGGTTCTCATTAGTTCTCTGTTTTATACATAGTAGTGTGTATATGTCAGTCCCAATCTCGCAGTTCTTCCCCCCCCCCACTATAGCAGATTTTGATTTGAAGCTTACCCTCCATGGTATTAACCTATACGTATTTTATCAATATACTTATATATGTATAAATAATAACAGTACCCACTATGTCAGGGCCAAATTGGTTTGGGCCTTTCCTATACACCCTTGAGCTGTACTGTCCCTCATGCCCAGGGGTCTGTTGGGAGGTTTCAGGCTTCTCATAGTCAGGGGAGCCCAAGGGTTGTGTCTGCTCATTCCCCTTCCGCTCCTGTAGAGCTCTCCCTCCTCCTGGTGTGGCTGCTCAAGGGAGTTTTTAGCACCAGTCATGGTCATGGCCCAAGTCCACTCTCTGCGAGGCTGCCGAGGTGAAGGGAGACCAACGAAGGAGAGGATGCTGGTCTGTCCACTGCCTGCAAGATGCCTCCTGTGTCCTCTCCTAGTTCTCTGGACTTCCTCTTTTTCTCTCTCCATTTTGAGCTTTAAAAGATTCCATGACTTATATTGGTTGTTTTTCTGCTAGGTAAATAAAATAGGGCAAAGCAGGACCCGTTATTTACATTAAAGGAATATTATACATACTCTTCTGTGCTTCTCTTTTTCTTTTTTTTTAATGTCAAGACTTTTTATTAATCACCTTTAAAAATTTTTTAAATATATATATATATATATATATATATATATATATATATATTCTTTTTCAGATTCTTTTCCATTACAGGTTATTACAAGATACTGAGTATTGTTCTCTGTGCTATACAGTAGGTCCTTGTTTATTTTATACATAGTAGTGTGTATCTGTTAATCCCAAACTCCTAATTTACCCCCTCCCCCCATTTTCCCCTTTGGTAACCATAATTTTGTTTTCTCTGTCTGTGAGTCTATTTCTGTTTTGTAAATGAGTTCATTTGTACCATTTTTTTTTAAGATTTCACATATAAGTGATATATGATATTTGTCTTTGTCTGACTTACTTCACTTAGTATGATACTCTCTGGGTCCATCCATGTTGCTGCAAATGGCATTATTTCGTTCTTTTTTATGGCTGAGT